CTTTCATGTTCAAGTCACTCAGCTAAGCATTTCCATGAAAACTTATTTAGATCTTTATCCAAGGTCTTCAATAGTGTCTGAAGAGGTAATTAAGCAAATCTTGACAAATAGAAATATGTATAATAGACACAATCAAAATAGGTCAAAATAGGTCTTTTATTTATTTATTTCCTTATAGGTATATTTTCAGGAAAATAGTACAAGGTTGAAAAATACTTGGAGGCAGGGGTGGTGTGGTGTAGAAGCAAGACTATATTCCTAGCGAACAACTGGATAGACTCCAACTTGACTGTTTGCTCTTTTCACTGCTTACCCCAGAGATTCTCAAAGTGTAGTCTGGGGACTCATAAGAACCTCTGAGATCATTTCAGATCTGCAAGGTCAAAACTATCTTCCTAATAATATTGATACTTTTTTGCCTTTTTCTTTCATTCTTTCATATGTGTACAGTGTTTTCCAGAAGCTACATGATGAATGATGTTGCATTAGATTGGATGTAGAAGCAGGTATGAGAATCAAGCTGTCTTTTATTAAGACAGACTTGAAGAGATTTACAACATTAATTTTTTTTTGGGGGGGGTTGGAAAATAAAGATACTTTTGACAAAAAAAAGTTATTTAACATGCAATAGGTTTACTATTGTCATTTTAATAGAATTAATAAATACTTTTATTTATTACATCTCTCTTTTAATTCTAATATGATAAATGCCAATATGTAACCCAAATAAATAAAAGGGATTGGGGATCCTCAATAATTTTTAAGAGTGTAAATGGGTTCTGAGATGAAATACTTTCAGAACTTCTGTTTTATACTTTACTCTGATACACTCATTCAAACTCATGTTATCGGTTGAATTGTGTAACTAATTAAGGTGAGGTCATACTGGAGTAGGTTACATTCCTAATCCAATATGACTGGTATCCTTATGAGAGGATTACCATGTGAAGACACAGACACACAGGGAGAATGCCATGTGAAGATTAAAGTTATGCTGTCACAAGCCAAGGTACTACCAGAAGCTAGGAGAGAGGCCTAGAACAGTTCCTTCCTTCTGTAGCACCTTCAGAAAGAGGATGACTCTGCCTATGCCTTGATTTCAGACTTCTGTCTTCCAGAACTATGAGACAATAAGTTTCTGTTGTTCTAAGCCACCTCATTTGTGGTACTTTGTTACAGAAGTCCTAGCAAATTAATATATCCTAATTTTAATCATCAAAAACTAATAATTGTCAAGTCTGTCTGTCTAGTCCAAGCCTCTTTTCTGAGTTTCATACACATACATACAATGGCTTTTTAGACATTCCCCATTATTACAAGGTTTCTGAAAATGAAACATGCTCAAAATGACACTAATCATTGTAACCTGCCTGACAAAACCTGCTCTATTCCTAATTTTTTTTCTTTCTTTATAAGGGGTACCACCTTCTTTAATAACTCCTTTTCTCAATTCCCACATCTAATTAATCATCACCTTCTAACAACCCTCTGGTGATAGTTAATTTTATGTTTCAACTTGGCTGGGCCATAGTCTCCACATATTTGTTTAAAGATTATTCTGGATGTTTCTGTGAAGGAGTTTTTGGATGAAATTAACATTTAAACCTGTGGATCGTTAGTGAACCAGATTGCTCTCCATAATGTGGGTAGGTCTCATCCAATCAGCTGAAGGCCAGAATAGCTCATCAAAAGACTGACATCCCTTGAATAAGAGGGAATTCTGCCATCAGATGGTTTTCAGACTTGAACTGCAACACTGGCTCTTCCTTGGGTCTCCAGCCTGCCATCCCACTGGAAGATATTGGAGGTGCCAGCTTCCACTGTCATGTGAGCCAATTCCTTAAAATAAATCTGTCTCTACATTTACACATTATATAGAACTCTAATGCACCTCTTATTAGGGACTTCTCTAACTTCACTACCACTGCATTGGTTCAGGCCACCATTATCTCCTGTCAGGACCTCATCGCCTCTGTTTTCTCTGGCCTTTCCCTTTCCAATCCATTCTCTATGCTTCTATCCATATGATCTAAGAAACTTATCTGAGCACATTGCTTTCCAGTTTATGAACATTCATAGATTCTCCAGAGCTTTCAGGGTAAGACCCTTAGTATAGCCAATAGAATGCACAATCTGTCCCCTACCTCTTCCAGCCTCTTCTCTGACTACTCCTCCATGCACATAAGGGAGCTAACTTTCAGCGCTATTCTATAGACTCCTTCACTTTTTAATTGAGGAGTTCCTATAAATACCCATTGCCAGGCTGTACTCTAATGCTTTTCCTAATTGAGTGATTTTCAGTCAGGACCAGTTCTTTTGATCCCATTTACGAAGTTTGTTTGCTAAATGATGTTGATACTACTCTATTTTACCTCAGCTGTTTACTTTTTTCTTTCTTCTTTTAAAATTGTTATATTTGTTTCCTGGGTAGAAAAGATAGACTATAGTCAATTCCGGAAAGTTTTTAGATATTTTAAAGGTATAAAGGATAAGCTTAATGGGTATAGATATCAATCATTTCAGATTAGCCATTAAGAGACATTACCTCAGAATAATTGATACTGATTAATAATTATAATTTAAAATACATAATAAAATTAATAATTAACTTGGGCCACAGACTACCTAGGTTCAGATCTCGGTTCTATGTCTTATTATCTTTGTGAATTTTAGCAAGTTACTTACTTCTCTGTGCCTCAGTTTCCTCATCATAAAATGAGATAGTAGCACTTTCCTAATAGAATTTTATGAGGCTTAAGTATGTTCACATATATAAATCTCTCAGCACAGTTCCTGGTACATCATAAGTGCTCTCTCTATATATATATATATTTTGGTTATTATTATTATTTGACAATGCATTTAGAAGTGCACAGATTTCATAGGCAGACTACTTGGGTTCTAATCTTGGTGCTAATACTTTCTATTTGTGTAGCCTTAGACAAGTTCCTTAATTTTTCTCCTTATCTGTAAAATGAGATAATAATAATGCCTCATAGAGATGTTATGAGGATTAATTGACTTTAAATATGTGAAATTCTCAGAACAGTACATGGCATGTGGTCAACACTATATGATGCTCATAATTTTTACTATCATTATCTTTAGAAATAGGTGGTCCATATTAATCATATTACCTTGTTTCTTGTTCAGATTTTGTTTCATTTTTAAATTCTCTAATCCTCAGTGGCAAAAACTATGCTTTTTCATTCTTAAAGTTTCAGAGTGCAGCAACCCGATACCAGTACTTTATTTACCCTCTCTTCTTTAAAAAGAAAATAAAACAAAACCAAAACATCTACCTTTAATAT